GTTGTTGATCGCTGGCATCAACATATTCAGAATCTGAATTGACAGGGCTATTATTTCCTTCTTTGACAACATTTTTTGTTTTTGTAGGTGAATGTTTTGAATCGAGATGTTCTTCTAGTTGTTTAACATCAATATCATATTGAGAAGTAAGTTGCGTGGAGCTAAATGAAGTATTATCTTCATTTGAAACGGCTGGACTATTATTTCCTTTTGGTACTTTATTGTTATCAGTTATTATATTTGGGTAAATTGAAGTAGTATCTTCATTTGAAACGGCTGGACTATTATTTCCTTTTGGTACTTTATCGTTATCAGTTATTATATTTGGGTAAAGTGAAGTGGTATGAAGAGGACTAGTATCATATTGTGTAATAGTAGAAATATCTAAATTAGAGTTATAGTCAATATAGTCTGTGTTGTTATCGTCACTTTTAGAATCATCTGGTATATCTTTAAAATTTAGAAGACTATTCACTTCTGGAGTTAAAGTGCTTTGTTCCGCAGCATCATCTTCATTCTGAGTGGCTGGTGTAGAATCATGTTGGTGTACATGTATCGGAATAGTATGTTCGATTGGAATTGCAGATATATTTTCATTTTCGGGCGCTTGTGCAGTTTGAATGGTATCTTGGTGCTCATATACGATCGGAACAGCAGAACTATCAGGCATCGTTTGAAAATGTTCATTAGGATCAGTACGATAATCTTTAGGATCTATCCTTTCATAGGATGGCACGTGGTAATCCTCTACGTACCCAGGTGAGCTTGTCTGTTGAATATTATTATTTGAACCTTGTACAACTTTATTCTCATTATTTACGGGCGGTGGAATATTTTTATCAGCCTTAATACTAAGTTGAGAAGTGGGTGTGGATGGCGTTGTTATGGAATTATAATTACTACTATTGTTATTATCATCATTCGTGAGCGGTGAAATATTTTTGTTCTCACTAGTGCTAGATTGAGGAGTAGGTGTGTCCATTATATCTGGCATTATTGTGGAACTACTAATCTCATTATTCGTTAAAGATAGAGGTGGAGTATTTTTGTTCCCACTAGTGCTATATTGGGGAGTAGGCGTGTCCATTCTATCTGGCATTATTGTGGAACTACTAATCTCATCATTCGTTAAAGATAGAGGTGGGATACTTTTGTTCTCACTAATGCTAGATTGGGGAGTAGGTGTGTCCATTCTATCTGGCATTATTGTGGAACTACTAATCTCATTATTCGTTAAAGATAGAGATGGAATATTTTTGTTCCCACTAGTGCTATATTGGGGACTAGGCATGTCCATTCTATCTGGGATTGTCGTAATAGATCGATCTTTGTTCCCACTAGTGCTATGTTGGGGAATAGGTATGTCCATTCTATCTGGGATTTTCTCATAATTCGTGAAAGATGTCTGTGAAACGATAGGCATAGGCGTACTATTATCTAGACCCATATGTTTCAAACCTTTATTAATTTCTTCAAGAGTCATCTGTTCAGATTGTTGATATTCATTATTTGTAGATACGTTTGTTGAAATGACAGGCCGTGAATTGTTATCGATAATGTGTTGAATTTCATTACTTGTAGATACGTTGATAGGTTGTGGATTGTTGTCATTGATAATGCCTTTCTTTGCTAAATGTTCCTGAATTTGTTCCAAGGTCAAACACTCTACAGGATTAGTTTGATGAGAATCCACAAAAGTTTCCTGTTTTTGTTTTGGTAAATCAATCTCTAAACTATTCGCCTCATTTATTTCTGATATAGTATAGCTTGGATCTTGAGACGACGCGATCTCTTTAGGATTTGTATCACGAAATTGATAAATTAATATTTGAAGTATTCTTATGATGCATTAAAAATACTTTACCTTCTTTCACTTCTTTAGGGTGGTTTTGATTTGATAAATCAATCTCAGAGTTATTCGTCTCTTGTGATGCATCAAGTGGCCTTTCGTCTAATATAGTATTGCTTTGATCTGGTAATTCTATTTTTGCATCAAGAATTTTCCGGATAAATAATTATTGTATTAATTTTTATAATTTATTAAACCACTTTACCTTCTTTAAGGGGTGCTTCTGTATTCTGCCTTAATAACTCAACCTCTGAATTATTCGTATCTAATATAGTATTGCTTTGATCTGGTAATTCTATTTTTGTGGGATATGTACCAAGAATTTTACGGATAAATTAATAATTGTATTAATTTTATAATGTATTAAAACACTTTACCTTCTTTAAGGGGTGCCTCTGTATTCTGCCTTAATAACTCAACCTCTGAATTATTCGTTTCTTGTTTATTGCTTTGATCTGGTAATTCTATTTTTGTGGGATAGGTATCAAGAATTTTACGGATAAATTAATTATTGAATTAATTCCTATAACGCATCAAAAACGCTTTACCTTTTCTTTCTAATTTATTTGGGTTTGGATTTTCCTTAAGAGGTGCCTCTGGATTTTGGTTTGATAAATTAATTTCTGAAGTATTCGTTACTTGCAATGCATCAGGCGGTACTTTGTTTTGTATAGTATTGTTCGGATCTTGTAATTTATTTCATATCCAAGATTTATGAATAAATTACTCATTGAGTTAATTCTTATAATGCATCAAAAAATACTTTACCGTTTATTTTCAATTGATTTGAGCTTGGATCTTCTTTAAAGAGTGCTTCTGAATTTTGGATTGGTAAATTATTCCCCGCATTACGGCCTTTTATTGTTTTAAACCTAACAGGCTTGGGAGGAATTGGGGGAGGAATTGGGGGAGGTCCTTTCTTACGCGTTTCACTTCCATGGCGACTATGTTTACTGGATTCACTTGAAACAGTCATGCTAGGAACTGTTGGGGAATTAGCACTCGTTGAATGGTTTGATCCAGTACCAGCCGTTCGAGAAATGATTACTGAAGAAGAACTATCATTTGTAGATTCAGCAGCAATTATTGGTTTATCTTCATCCGAAGTCATTTCAATCGAGGATGGAATATTTTCAGTAACATTATCAGTTAAAGTGTTACCCTGAGATACATCATAATGAATTAATGAATCGTTATTAGAAGATATCATAGAATTAGAAGTGTTATCAGGAATATTATCGTTAATTAAATTAACTTCAATGAAGACATCATTCAAATTTTCAACCTTTTCAAACCCTCCATCATGGGTAAATGAAGTATTTTGAACAGAATTAGATGAATTTTCTACGTTATCATGGATAGTATAGCCAACTATACTAGTATCACTAATGATATCATCTTCACCCAATTTCTTAACCTCTTGCAATCCTTCATCATGGATGGGTAAGGTATTTTGATTTGTAGTCTCTTGTTGAGATTCGTTAACACCAATTTGGATATCGCATGTATCAGACGAGGCCATTTCAGTTTGTCCAAGAAAAAAAAAATAAGAATCAAGTTTGAAATTTAGTTAATTGGGAAATTTTTGTAACAAATATTTAAATCCGGAGTGTTACTTGTAAATTCCGGAAAACAATCAATCTTACGCAAACTAATTATAAATTGCGTATGCGTATTACGCTGGGAAAATTACGTAATATGCAATCGTTACATAGCCGACCCCGATACCTTGTGACGGATTTTTTACAGGGCAATCTTCAAAATTCTGGGTCGGAATGCACCGGAGCTAATCCGGCATTAAGCAACACTAGCTAACATAGTCTATAATAATATTATCAGCAAGGCATTTTATTTATTGTATGACTTCATAGTAAAAGTTTGTGATCTTGGGCAAAAATCAGTCAAGTCCGGCCAACCGACCATGATTCCGATGCATTCACCGACCCGGAATTTTGGGATCTTTCTGTATGACCATCCTAATATAGGGTACAGATTACGGTGTTTCTCGGAACTTATGCAGCGCCAGTACATAAAACAATTTGGCAACTATCGCTATCGCAATATCGCAATTAATTCATGATAAAAATGGAAACAATGAAATACTGTATCTATGTATCACTATCGTCTATCGCAATGCAGCATGCTGTATGGACTAACCTGAATATTTTCTACGTAGCGATATCACGAAAAACAACCAAACTAAATTCGACAAAATTTGTCTTATCTATAAACATATATATATAATTAAAGTAAAACAATTCCAGTTAATTTGGTCATTTGGTTGTCGTAATATTACTGGTGTTGTTTAATAACGAAATTTACTATTGCTAAAGATTTAGCAATTCGATCGCCACTTAGTTTTATTACATATATACTGTATATTAATAAAAAAATCTATGTAGTAAATATCTAAAAGGTTAAATCTTAAAATTTCGCATTATATGAAATTACTACACTATATAGGGTATTAAACACGGATATTATAATGCAATATTTGCTTATAAAGCTATTTTTGAGATTCTAACAAAAGGATTATTTGCATTACCGTTAATTTAACCTTAAACCCTAATCTGTAAATTTAGGTAAATATTTGTCACAGTACCCAGTGTAACTAAACAAAGCATCAGGATTTAGAAGACCATGGTCCGGTAGTTATCCGGTAGTCGGGTATTCGGAATACTGTAGCCCATAGAAAATCCGGACGTCAACCTCCGGAGCCATTGCCCGGTGTCACGGCTCGGGGAGAGACTTATGTACTTCGTTACCAATTTAGCTTTAAGCCGTGAGCATTAGGTATTAAAAAGAATGTAAGTTTTTATGTTGGGAGAGCGAATATTATATGTTTATTATGTACAAGAGTTATGTGTGTTCAAAAAAACTTATATATTAACTTAAAACTATATATTAACTATCCCTTCTTTTTACATGTAGCGATCCTTTTTATAGTCCTAGCTAGAATTACCGATTACAAGAATGAGGTAAGGACTACGACTATTTACAAAGAATGTGGTAATTGATACTAAACGTTCATTTTAACATAAAGAAAAAAATAGAAATCCGAAATATGATGTAATCGGAGCCGGGTCACCGTACGATCATCGAAATGTAGTAATCGGCTAAAGGTAATGTCGTAATTCACGTGGGGTCGATCAGACCGATCGAATTTTGTCAGTAGTAACAAAAAATATCTATGAAAATTTCAAAAAGCACGAAGACATCTTAAAAATCACCTGGTCAAAATTCGATGAAATTTTTTGAATTCTATGAATTATAGAATTCAAATAAAAAAATTTATCGTTATAACTTCATAAAATTCAGATAAAAAAATTTTCATAGAATTTTGACCAAGTAGTTGTCGAGATATCTTCGTTTTTATTTTTTTGAACTTTGAATGATGACATCTTGACAAACGCCTAATCAAATTCAACAAAAAAAATCTATTTGAATTCTATACATTCGCAGAATTCGATAGAAAGATTTACCGGTAATCGAATTTTTCAAGTGGTTATGTAAATTTCTTAGAAATAAATAACAATAAATTTGATTGGTTAGTTACATGGAAATCGCGCTGATTCACCTATTACCCTATTGCTGTATTGCGGTTATCAGCAAAGATCCTATGTGGACGGTATTGATAGGTAATTGATTAATGAACGATAGTTATATCGTAAATGGAATAGCTAATGGGTTGAATTAAAAAAAGAGATTAAGTTTAAACGTAAGAACCCGAAGCGAACTGAAATGTGTAGAATACTGCCAAGGAAAAATGTGACTGGTTAACCTTGACTGATACCTCATACGAGTTGCGCGGGGGATTTTTTTTTGAAACCCCATTTATAATATTTTCAAAGGGTACGATTTTTAAATAATACTCGTGCCTATTATTTCGCGACAATACGGTAGAGTCTTGATATTAATAATATTATTACTTCTTGTTTATCTTAATTTTCTCTAATAATAAAGGTATAATATATTATTTCATCTTATTTTCTCATCGTCACATTTCATTCCATCGGAAACCAACCTAGAAGTAGGGTTTACAGTTTCAAAAAATATTCCAAATTCTCCAAATTTATTTGACCAATAAGTACAACATCCATTAAGACGCGTCAACAACTGCTAATGTAATTTAATTAAACGCGATTATTAATATACTGCACATTTTATTAATAAATACTGTTGAAAAAAGAATACAATAATTATATAATAATACACAGTATTAAAAAATATATCGTTAAAATTATTCATATATATTAATTTATATTATATTTACTAAATCAAATAAAATGACAATTATGTTATGATAATTAATTTGGCAAGGTTATGAAGCCAAATTTAATTACGAAATAAATATACAAAAAAAAAAATATAAGAATAACAAGAGCTAAAAAATAAAATATACAAAAAGAAATTCATACTAACATGAAAAAAAAATAATAATTTACACAAAGAATTTCTTATTAATCAAAAATATCAATAAATTAACATTAACTCTAGCGACACCATCAAAAAGACTCATAACTTGTGTATTATTGAATTGACTTTGTAATAAATCTTCCAATCTAAGTTCCATTGAAGCGCCTGGTACAGGAACACTAGCATATGAAGCTTCGATTGAGAAGATTCCCACTTCATCTGATGATATCGTAAAACTAATCTTATCAAACGTTGGATATCCGGTAATAGAAAGTAATACACCTTTTTCACGTAAACGCTGGGCTGTATACTTGAATGAACCAAACCGGGGAACTTTACCGGATTTCTGAAGTTCTCTGATATGGAAATATTGGCGAGTAAATGGAAGAACTAATCGATATTTTTTACTAAAAATATATATTTAAATGTAAATAAAAATTCGCTGATGGTAATTATAAGGATTATGAGTTATATAAATGATAAAATCTTACCCTTTCTTGGTAGTCAATTGTTGCATACAAACATCGATGTGATCATTATAAGTTTTAATCTGATCATCAAGATGTACTCTTTTTTCATCCAAATTCACCAATGTTTGTCTTAATTGTCTTAATTCTTTCTGCCTCTGAACTCTCCTTCTATGTTTATTCCTTATATCCACAGCAATAGCGTTCAATATTTCCTGATAATTATTCTTTCTGACAATTTTTCTTTCCTTCTCAAGCCTTAATATATTTTGAAGTGTTAATTTTTTTAAATCCAAAAATTTCATTTCTGTGATATCATTTGACCCTATAGGTTGACGTTCTTTCTTTTTTTTATCAGTTTTACAAATTTCTGAATATACTTTTTCATCTTGTTCTGTAACTGCTTTTACAAGTATATCTAAAAGATTTTCACCATTTTGAACTCTCATTACTGAAAGTATAAGACGTTTTGTTTCAACAAATAAATGGTTAATTTCTGCATCTGGATCATTCATTGCTTCTAAAGCCAATCTACTTGTAAGTGTTAATGATATTTCTTTTGTAGCAGCATCACTTAAATCTTCTTCTATAGGTGGTGCTTCACCAAGTTCATTAAAAATTTGTCGTAATATATCATTAGGTTGTGGAGCTATATCTTCTAATCGTTGCATTAATAATTCATGTGTTGAAAAAACTTCAATTGGAGAAATATATATAATTGGTTTATTGGTTTTTGTTAGATCATCGAATTCATCGACACCAAAAAATGATTCTGCTTCACCAACTTCCGTAACTAAATTTATATAAATTAGATATTTAAATAATGTATATATATTTGTCTATTTATTTTGCTATTACGTACCTTCTTTAAAGAATTTTAAAAATCTATCTGATGCATATGCAACATATTCATTCAATGGTTGTAGATATATATTATCATCACTAAATAATTTTCCTACGGAAATTTGGTTCAACATTTTTGAAATCTGTTGCAAAAGTAAAATGAATTAATTCAGATATACATAGATAAAATTATATATGATCGAATCGTTATGACAAACCTCGGCCAAATTTTTACGTTGCATTGGGCTAACAACATTATCAATAACATCAAATCCTTCGGGAGCCCTAAAAAAAAAAAACGTATATATGTATTTAAATTAAATTATACCAGGATAAATATATATATGTATGTGCGCAAAAAAACAAAAATATATTCTTACACTATAGCAGGATTCAGGTAACGATAATATATCAAATGTCCAACTACTTTTATCACAGAATCTTCACTTTCGGTGCTAAATTTATTAATTAAAGATTTTTTTAACTCTCTTGCAATATATCTAATTCCAAAAGGCATTTTTCCAATTGAATTAATAATAGTTGTTAAGAAAGTTTCAGTTTCTTTACGAAGTCTTTGTAAATGATGAATAAATACAGTTCGTGTTTCTGGATCATTTAACGCTTCTTGTTGTGAAATATCAGTTGGTTTATTTGATGGTAAACCAGTCCTTAATTCTTCTGCATTAATTAAATTTCGATATATTTTTAAAGGATCAGTTTCTAAATCCATAAATTCATCATCCATTATGTGTTTAACTAATGGAGAAAGAAGATCTCTAAGAAATTTTCTTTCTTTTGCACCACGATTATAATGTACAACTAATTTCATAAACATGAAATTTCCTCGTAAAAATTCTTGTAAAGAATCAATATTTTCTAATTCTTGCATCATACTTTTTTGGAATAATTTAAGTAATAAATATTCCTCTCTTGCATTTTGTGCGTAACCAAATAAAGTTAATACTACACCCTCAACTAATTTTTTAGTCTTTTCTGGAAAACTCATTTTGTTCATAATAAAAAATAATCTTGCAAGATACATTGGCTGAGTTTGTAATAAATAAAATAATTGTTGATAAAGTTCTAAACGACGATGTGTTACTTTATCAAGAGATTTTAGAGAGAAAGGACTTTGAGGTGAATTAAGTTGAGAAAGACGACGGTTTCGTTTTTTTGTATTTGCCACAGCCAAGACTTCATCAATAGTTATACGATTCTTGATTAAAAGAGCTATCTTTATATCAAGTTGATTCAAATGATCTTCTGATTGATTATTTTCTCGAATGCGCTGAATGACAGCTTGACGTAAACGTTCCAGTTCTATAAAAAAAGAAAAGGTTAGATAACTGACTTTAAATGTATTTAAAGTAGACCGAAAAAAAGAGAAATTACCAAGCTCTTCATCAAAATCAAAATCACTATCATTTAATAAATGAATAAAGTTTTTGATAGTTGTCACAGGAGGATTATTTCCTAATGCTATATTGATAAACGTAAATTAGTACATTTACAATTATCAGGAAATATATATATATATATATATTTTTGAAATGAAATTTACTTAAACTTCTATAAGCATCTCCGGCATGTTTGGCTCGGTATAAACTTTGAACTTTAATAATCTTATCTATATTTTTTTCATAATAAGCAGATCTATCACGAAACTTTGATCGAGCCAATGCGCCACGTGCAAGAGATTGAAGCTATAAAATAACACAGTAATTTATATAATTAAGGTTGTTAACATCAACACGAAAGAAAAAAAAAATTAACATACGTTTACAGCCCATTTTTCTAATTTTTCCATTTGATTTAATCGATTATTCCATTCAGTACGTACTAACCAACCTCTAATCTGTGATTGAAGTCTAACTATAAAAGGTAAAGAATGTTCATATAAAGCACGCCTTTCCAATAAATGTTTCCTTGCAAGATGAGTGCGTGCAATTGCTTGACATCGTACAATAGCATTTTGATTTTCGGACCAATATTGTGCCTTTTCTGAAATAAATAAGGAGTTAAAAACACTGAAATAATAAAAAGAATAATAAAAAAATAAGTATGAAATGTTATACATAATACATACTCTCCTCTTCTGATAATTCAATTGATACTTCTTCTTCTTCTTCTTCTTCTTCTTCTTCAGATGCTTTTATAGTATTTGCCATTTCCATGGGTGGAGGTTCATTTAATTCAGCGGACAATATATTTCCAACATTGGCAAAACTTGGCATGATTACTCCTGAAGCGTCTAAACCTCTTTGTGTCAAATGTAATTGTTCGTCTATAAAAAAAAAGAAAAAAAAGGGTTAATATAATATTATAAATATACAGTACCGGACAGCATAAAATATAAAAAGTGTTGTAGCTCAAGATCAAATAATTTTTAACAAAAGTTCCTCTTATAGATTACTCAAGATCAAATAATTTTAACAAAAATCCCTCTTACAGGTTTTCTCAAGATCAAAAATTTTTTTAAAAAAATCCCTCTTACAGATTTGTTGCTTTTTATTCAAGCTACAATTCTATTAGAATAGATTTTTATAATTTATAACGGGTTATATATATTTAAAAATTTGGCGTTTAATATAAAAAATCTATATGATTTATCGACCAATCAAAATTAATTATATAAAATTGACCAATCATAATTGATTATATAATCTTAAAATATGGCGCTATTGAAAAAGAATTGGATATTGTTTGTTGTCCGGTACTATACTAAAATAATGATAATAATTAAAAAAAATTTCAACGCATATATTTACCTGTAAATTCTAATTTTCCCACTAAATTTTTAATTCGAACTGTAAGACCTCTTCTTGATAGTAAATGACTTATTATTTGAAAAAGTATTAGCATATATTTTTAGGATGACAGATATATATAAAAGTTAAACAATACCTTAAAGCATGTATGCAATAAATTACTTTGGGAATGTTCTTTTTTTCATATAAATCGGTTAATTCAAACCAAAAAATCTAAACAAAAGATATTTAGAAAAGGCATGATGATTAAATAGATTTAAATACTATATTATTATTAAAAGTATCAAAAGCATATAAACAAAAACTTACTCTAGGTAAACTGACTTTTTGTATAGCAGCAAAGAAATAATTGATATTATCAGAATGACGAAATTGTAATTTTGGTGACTAAAATAATTTATTGGTGAATAAAATAAAAAAATATATAATAAAAAAATAGATTGATATAAGGGAAGTAGAGGTATTATGGCGAAGTTAACAATTTTTGTTCGTATCGTGTGATATATTGATCGAAATCGAATGATTTTGGCATTATTTGATTCGTCTCATTGAGCTGAATCGATTGATACCAAAAACGCTCGATTCTGATTACTATATCCAAAGATACTTGAGTTTAAAGTTTTATGAAAAATATTGTGATTTTTTTTGCGTTAGAAGGTATTGTGGTGAATCGTTGATATCTCGTGATCAGAATCAAATGATTTTTATACCATTCGATTCCTCTCAATGAAAGAAATCTAATGATATAAAATCATTGGATCCTGATCCAGATATCAACGTTCGTCACAATACTTTTTTATTAATAGTATTCTATATATTATTGTATATATATATAGCTTAAACACAAATATTTCATGATTCAGCAGCACAAATTGAGCGATTTTTATACCGATCGATTCTTCTCATCGAGAGGAATCGAGAAGAATCGATAGGTATAAGAATTGCTCAAGTTTGATCACTGAGTCACAAAAGTGACTATATGTTAATAAACATATAAAAGTGCATTAGCTTAAATATCTCATGATGTAGTGGTCTAAAATTGAATGAAATTTATATCATTCGAATCCTCTCTATGAGAGGAATCGAATGGTCTAGATTTTATTTGATTCTGATCACAGGATCATGAGATATCCCGATTCGCTACAATACCCAATTCACCATAATACCCCTATCTCCCTTATAATTATTTTAGAATTTTGATTAATTACTGTAAAAATCTTTCTAACAACTGATGGTTCGATCGACTTTGCCAGTTTTGCAAGCGCAATACCATTTCTAAGACCTTCTTCCAACAAGATGATTGGATCAATTTCTTCAGCAATACATGATTCTATCCACCTAATAAATGAATGATATAATGAATGACATAATGAATGACATAATGAATGACATAATGAATGATATGATATGAGTGTTACCAAAAGAAAACCTGACAATTTAAATATAGTGTATATTTAAATTGTCGGGTTTTTCTTTTGGCAACACTCAAATAATGAGTGGTATGGTGAATGATATATGAATGATATTATATTAAGGATCATTATTATATTTATAATAGCAATAATAAATCAATGCTGTAATATCATAATGATAAAAATAATAAATCAATAATAAAAAAAAATTTAATGAAATTATTAAGATTCTTATTTTATTAATTTATTATTAAACTTATTATTATTGCTATTATTGTTTAATATTATAATGATTATTATTAACAATAATAACACTTATTATGAAACTATTTATGCATACTCTTTAGCTTCTCCAATGTGGCACAAGTATTCATAAGCTTGAAGATTTTTTCTTTGTTGATCCGCCCAATTGCGTGAATTACGTCGTTCCCCAGTTTTTTGAAGACGAATACGTCCTTTTAGACCTATTTTTTATTATTATTAAAGTTATAAATAAATATATAAACATATATAAAAAAAAAGTTATATATATTTATAAAATATAAATATGAAATCGATCCATTTAATTAATTCGATATTTTTTTTTTACTTACCAGTAACATCTTCAGCATTTTCCGTTATTGTTGGAATTTGTAAATCTGAAAGATCTTTTTTAACAGACATACTAGATAGTCGCCTAAGTTCGGCAACTGCGGACCTTGATGGATCTCGTACAATCGATGTAATACCATTTAGTTTTGTCGAGGGTTCCATCATAAGTGAATTAGTAAACATTGGACTAGTAATAGATTGTTCAGATTCCATTTTTATTTTATAAAAAAAAATTGGTTATTCGACGTTATTTCCAAAAGTAATCGTTAATATCTATTGTAAACGCAGTTAGTACGTGCGTACAAAGATTTTTTAATTTTTGATATTTAAAGTGGGAAGAAAAAAAAAAGAAAATGGTTTATGCATGCATATTTAGTAACATCAAAAGACGAGAAGAAAGAATAAAGTAAACCCGCATTCCAGGTATCGAACTTTATTTTAATAATATCACGTGAAAATGTAGGGGCATCCTGTGTCAGGGGGGATAGAATCATTTACCGCACCAGTACATACTATTAAACTGTTTTAGCAACTATTTTATCATTACCGCAGCAGGGGAAAAATGAACACATGCAGCGATAATAGCCATTATGATAATTACTCAAGTGACTTTGCTGTAACGTATCGCACACACGCATAGTTACGTAATGTATACTAAATGTATGTTACACAAAACCAAGCATTTTGATTGGATAATATTGTAATATAAAAGAATTATTTAAAACGTAGAGCTAATTTAGCCAAATTGTATTTTTTTAATAAAATTAAATTTAAATCACTAGTAAGTTTTTATAAAAAAAATCTATTTAGTTTGTCGGGTTATGCTGCCTCATGCTATATGATATGCGCATAAAAATCATTCTTTCATCTGATTGTTCAAAAAATATAGCTCTGTATAGCAATAGTTAATCATATTCAATTATATATATAGATATATATAGTTTTAATGCTTTATTTAAAGATCAATAATTAATAATATATAATTCTAAAAACGATAAATAAATAACAATAAAGCCATTCCTTAAAAATATAATAAGTTTAGTAAACAAAAAGTAATTTACAGTTTAGTGCAGTAGTGTTAAATAATAGTGTAACGAAATTAGGTTATTTATGGCAGTTACTGTAATATTCACCTAATATGTACTTTAATAGAATAGATCTATTTAGTAATTTTTTTAAAAAAAAATTTATTTATACGTATCACTACAAAAGGTTACTAAAAGAAAGTAGTACAAAAAAAGATAACAGATAATGCATTTCAAACACGTAAATGTCGAAAAATCAACTGATATATTTGGTTTATTATCCGATAATAAATTTTAGTTCATATATTTTTAATATGCTTGGTATTATGCTTGGCAAAATCCAAACGTTATTATTTTTATTGTAAAGTTTAGGTCTATATTTAAATGCATAAAAAACGCCTTTAAAAAAATGAAACGTATCGTTTCATTTTTAAATCTTATGTATATTGAGCGACACTGAGATGAAAAAGTCTAGATGCTATTAGGGAATGCATTGTTTGAAATAGAATTTGGAACCGATTTAATTAACTTAGTCAACAATTTTAACCGATTTATCTTCTTACTAATAAAATCGGTTCCAAACTATGGATGCTGTTGAAATTGGTGAAATTAATTTCACCACCATCTATATTCCAAACTCCAGTAATATATTAGGATTTTATGTAAATAAATCGCGTAAACAAGAAAAAAAAATAATAAAAAGTTGAAAAAATTAATGTTACGACGCGTATAGATAGATAGGTATATATATCAGATATCGATAGATAGACGAGTCTTTATTTTTTTAAAAATATAAGGTACATTTGTAAATTTATTACAATAAAATAAAATACAACATTTCTATACATTATTTAAAAGAAACCAAAAAAAAATTAAAAAATTTTGGAATGTCTGTATTAATAATAAATTATTATTTTTTTTTTAAATAAAAAAAAAAATTAATAATTAGAAGTAGCCTTATTACTACATAACCCTGCAATACTATCAGGTAATTTTTGAGATTTTAATTGATCAGGTAGTTCGACCAGTTGTGCAAGCATTCCAATTTGAATGTGCCATTCGATATGACAATGGAATACCCAAACACCAGGATTATCAATGTTGAAACGTATGACTGACCAACCCCAAGATGGAACTACTGTAGTATCACGAATAGGGGGGTTATCAGTATTTAAAGAACTTTTGTCATAAGTGGTTCCTGTACCATCTCCCATGAGCCAGAAAACATGACCGTGCTAATAATAATGATAATAAAATATGAGTATTATGTTTAATTTGATGACAATGTCTTTTAAAAACGTATAATACTTACCAAGTGGAATGGATGATTAATCCCATTATTATCTAAATAAAAAAAAAATAAAAAAAAAAAGAGATGAATATATATATTATAAGCAAGAAAAAAAATCAAGAGTGTTAATTATATATCATGGATGACATACTCCACACGACAATTTCAGCAACACCCTTGTCATCATTCAATCCTACTGCATTTTGTGATGATGATAAATCTTTTACTTCCATATTTTCAGTCATAATTTTCTGAGTTGTCGGGTTGTTATAATCTGGAACATAAGTTGAGTTATTCATTAATGCTTCGACAACTCCTTCGGGGCTAGCGCCAAATGATACGGTATATGAAATTGATTGAGTAGCATCCTTAGGTGGATTGGCAGTCAAGGGTTTTATTAATTTAGAATCAAGATTCCTGCATGGAGTAACATCATCAGTGTATGCTTGAGAGTCAGGACTACCGCCAGAACTGGATCCTTCATAAGAAAGTATAGCAGTGACATTATAGTTGATTTTTGAGTCATGGTTAATTGTCAAGTTATCACTAGGCAGACATTCTGAAGACATAGTAGCGCGTATCCAATAGTCCTTTTCATCTTGATCAGCTTCAACAATTACAGAGTATCGTTGAGCAATATGAAGAGGAAGGGTGGTAACTTCGAAAGGTTCTACATAAGTTCCTTCAACTTCAATCACTTTCATTTTATGGCCGTCGATCGAGAAAGTGTAGAATGCATAAGCACTATTTTTTTTATAGGTAAATTTTGAATAAATTTTAAGAGTTTATAAATAAAAATAATTTTCTTATTTTTTAAAAGAGTAAAAAATTTAGAATAAAATAAATACCCAGTATTAACAACTCTGAATCTATATTTCTTTCCTTTTTGAACTTTATAAGTAGCCAATTCGGAATTTTTATCAGAGTATTGACCCTTTCCACTTATAAGACCAGAATCGGGTATAGGCTAATCACAAAAACAGAAAGATATTTATTATTATTAAAATATATAATAAAAAAATATAATAAAAAAATAAATATAATAAAAAAAAGAAAGCTGATATAAAGATGATAATACTAACATTTTTTCCTTTATAGCCTGGAGCCAAGTATAGAGCCATTAATTCGGTAGATGATTGATGATACCAATCAGTTAAAGTAACAACATAATCATAATCGTAATCTTTCAAATTTGGATCTTCGGAATCATGAATGATCATAGGACCCAATAAGCCATCAATGTATTGAGCCATATAATGTGAATGCCTTTAAAAATGCACAGTATGTTAATTAATTTATTTTATGTTAATTAATTTATTTTACATGATTATCATGAATAAATAATTCATGTTCAATGAATAATTAATTTTATACTCACCACCAATAAGTTCCAACTTGTCCCTCTGTGCTGAATTCATAAGTTAAAGAAGATCCCGGAGCGATGGTGCATTCAGACACTGCAGGTACACCATCAAACCAAGAAGTTCCTCGTTGAAACATTCCATGCCAATGGAAACTGGTTTCAACAGGAAGATCATTTTCAACAGTTATAGAGAACGTATCACCCTTATAAGCTTGAAGGATAGGTCCAGGATATTGACTATTGACAAGGGAAACAGCACTCGAGTAACCATCAGGAGCCCAAGTAGTTTGAGATAATTTAAAAGTGTATTTACGAGTTGTGGGTGAATTAGTTTTTTCAGGAAGAACCAAAGGGGAAAAGATTTCATTATTATAACAACTGTCTCCACGTTTTTCTGTGACGGGCATTGAAGAAACGAAAACTCCAAGTAGGAGAATAAGTAGAAAAGAGTTTATTGTCCTCATTTTTTTTTGCTTTTTTTTACAAAGGGAAAAATCAATCAATCAACCGATAAATAAATAAAATAATATTTAATTATTTATCGTTATTAACTATTACTTTATTATTTATTACTAATTAAATTATTAAAATTGTTTTTTTTTTTGATTTTGAAAATTTCAAGATCCTTCCCACAGAGTATTTATAATTATTTCGATCAAGTTCGAAAGAATAGCGCGCATCCAACAAAAATCGCGTATTTCAAAATTTTCATTTTTTTTCAAAGTTATTTTTGATAGAATCAGCATAATCAGCATATATGCGCATCTTTATTTTTAAAAAAAATTCATATGCATTAGAATAGATAAAAAAAATAGCGCGTTTATTGCCGAAAAATAAAATTTTTTTTTCTATTTTAAGTTATTAGGGGTACATATTAAAAGAATTTTATCTATTTTTGAAATAGGTTATAAGTTAAACCAGGCTAAAAAGACTCTCTGTAAAAAAAAAAAAAAAGGTTTCTGAATGCAATTCAGTAAATTTTCTATATTGAGAAAAATCATATAGAATTTTATAGAATATAGAATTAAATCCCGATGTTGCTTATGCAAGTACTACGGAGCCGTGATACCGTAGTATGTAAATCACCTAACGGTTAAGGTATATATATATAAATGCATGCACGCATGCACGCATACATATATATATATATAATATATATATATACCAATTTTTTTTTTTTCGGAAAATTACGTATTTTTAGAAATTTCTAAATCTTGTAAGGCTTGACATGTAGCTTTGTTTCATTTGAATGATTTATTGTTCCATTTCTAGATAATTCAAAAAGAAAAAAAAATCACTAGCGTTAATACATATTATTAAAGTTTTACACTGTTTCAAAATTATTAGAACGCATGCATATTCTTAATGGTCATTGATAGGTTGATTTTCAAGACGAATGAATTATTACTTGTTACTTGGTCTAGAAAATAATAATTAACTTTAAATCAAAAAAAGTGGACTATGATAATGTTATTCATAATGATCATAAATTTTATTAACGAAAGTGGATAATTCCTCTAAATTTTATATACATATATAGCCTAATTATAGTATTAATTATTAATTATTTATTATTCTGTCTCGAGTCGAAAAATAATTTATGAGAACTATAAAGTTTAACTTAAATTTATTTATTATTATAAAGCATTAATGCCGCATAACACATAATGATAATTCTAGTTTTGATTTTTTTTTACATTAGGGGGTTTCAAAGTTAACAAATAAGTGACGCATTTCGAAAATAAATAGGATTTTTTCAATAGTATTTTTACTATGCTGAATTATAAATCGGAAAAATAAAATGAGATTCTCTGATTTTAACTTTGAAACCCCCATTGTACTATACATATAACTTCTATTAAGACAAGGAATTCGCAGTATTCACAAGAAGTTAACGCCGATTTTTTATTACACAAGAGAAAATGGCGCAACACTTTGAAGGGGTATTACCTAAATAGGTACATTGATATGATATACTATTACTTTAAATGTATATTTAATAATATATAAAAATCTATTATAATAACTATTGTTGATTAAACCTTATCCCCAAAATTCTTGATTCTTTACTGTACGAGGAATTGTTATAGATGTTATTAATGCTTCTCGTGATTGTTCGATTTATAAATAACTTTATGGCGTAGAAAATTCGGATGATCTAATTTGTTTTAGTTCTTTCCATTAAGGTTTAAAAATAGATTAAATAGATTCTTACCTATTATGATTCGGTATCATTTTCAATAATTTACCTATATCGGTTTTTGTGTTCCCGTAATAATTCGATCAAATATTAACATTCTTACGGTATAATATACGTACTGTATATGAAAACCCTGGTGGCTGTATGCAACGCTAACGTTAAAATATTTAATATTACTTGCCTTTACGTAATTAACAACCTAATTCGGTCCGAAAATTACGCTACTACATAGGTACCAGCTACGTACGTACATATGAACCGTACCGATCCCATCCAAATTAATTAAAATTAAACCTATTTAAGTCCTAATTTACTGTATATTATCCTATCACGTGTATGTACGTATCTGCGTATTGACAACAATGTATTATACAAAGATCCGGACACGCGAATGCTAAGTCCGTAATAAAAAGAAGATTCTTAAAATTGTTTTTTTTAAATTACTCAACCATAACAACTCAAGCATTAACCCTATTCATTAAAAAGGGAAATAACTTATACAAATTCCCATATCAGTTACCATAAAACTTTATCTATCACTGGATCATTCCTTTTGTATCTTTCTTTCATTTTAGAAATTAGAAAGTTTCTTTTTTTCATATTGAGGGAAAAGCAAATTACAAGTAAATTTTAACTTTATTTGCATTATCGTAATACTGTACTCTTATTGTGTACGTACGTACATATGTACATACATATGTACGTACGGCATCTACCATCCATCAGTCCTTTGCAAAAAATCAGTCCACTTGATTACATTTAGATTTTTGCAAAAAAAAGATCTGTAAATCCAATTGGTCTTTAATTTGGCTAGAATCATAATGTGTTATGTGTACTGTACTGTATACTGTATAAGCATAAAAATATAGCATAAATGACTCTTTGTCATTATTATATAATTAAATACTGTATATGTCATATCAGATATATTTATAACTCAATTAGGAGCATCTATAATTTACGTTAAACGAATCTTCAGGGTCTCTACTGTATTTCTATATAATACAATACTGATTTAACGTAAATTATGGATACCCCTTACACGTAAGCATGTACGTACTTGCATAAAATCAATTCATTATTAGTAAGTCTTAGAAATGCGGCAAATTTTTCTCAATGGGGCTTGGCCTATGTTTTGTAACCATAACATGTGCCGTAACTAAGTTAGGATAAGATCTGTCAACGAGTTTTATTGTCAGATTTTACCTTGTTAGCTTCATCTATTATTATGATGTTTAGCTAAATAAAGGTCCGCTATGTCAAGATCACAGTAATTAATATTTAGTAACGGTAATCCATATGTGTACGAGCGGGAAAAATCATTTCTGCTAATACCCAACGGCTCATGCTCAGGATATTCTTATTACTAACGCTAATTCTAAATATTTCCCTTTAAACAATTTTTCTAATTAACTGGTGAATTTTAATTAACTACTACCAATTTAGTATTGGTAATTTTTATTTCGAATCTTACGCATTTATTCAACCCAAGAAATTAATTACTCTATCGGAAATTGCATCACTGAACCCCTATGACGCAAGATAGATTAAAATTTTCTAATCATGCAAAAGTTTCAGGGATGCATCAGTCCGGTCCGGTACGGGACTGCTATCATAGGATTTACGGTCCCGGTATATCTTAATGCATAAAATTTTATTGGCCAAAACAAGCATCATATGATTGATCAAGTAATTTGGAATGGATATCCCTATTTAAGGTACGTACTGTATGTAAGTAAACTGCTTAACGTTAATAAAAAAAAAATAGAAAAATAACTGTTTGTTCTTAACATCTAAATATATCTAGTTTATAGTATATATAATTTTAATTCTTTATACATAGATTCTTATTACGGAGTTAGAGTTCAGATTTATTATCTATTTTTTGCTAGAGTGTATTGTAAACGATGACATTGTGCGTATTTATGCTTGCACCTATTTTTGGATTTTTTTTTTTATTTTGCATTTTAAATACATTATTATATTCTATATTTAGAATTATAAAAATCATAACTACTTTTTAGAAAATTAAACTTATTTTTTAAACTATAAGCAATTTTAGGTAAAGCTGTTTAAAAAATTATATAGTATATTATAAATTTGTTTACAATTTGATTTTTTTTTAAAAAATAAATAATTTATATTTGAAAATATTTTAAAAATTATTGTATATAATATAGCAATAGTATTTAATTTTATATTTTAAGAAAGTTTATGTTTAAAAATAGATAATTTTTAAAATTAAAAAATTATTTATTAATTTTAAAAATTTTATAAATATACAGTATATTAATATTATTTATATAAAGTTTAGTTTAGTTGTTTTAAATCTTTATCAAATTTTTTATTTTTTAGTAATTACTATATATAAGTTTTTGATTAATTTTAGAATAATAGGAAACAAAATAGCAGATAATTGTGCAAAGATTATAATTTAGAACTAATTCATATAATTAGGATTATTTTGTCTAATATATTAGATAATATCAAAAGTTGGTTCTGTATATTTTACAATCTTGTTTGATAGTATTTAAAAGATTTTTGTAAATTTGATATTGTTACTCTCAAAATCTTATTTAGTTCTAATAAAAATTCTTATTATTTTTTAAAAGAGATGTTTTATTTATTATACAGTTTATTTTATTTTATTTTTTTTTATATTAAGATAAATGCTTAGACTCAAAATGCTTTATTAAATATTTGGCATATAATATATATATATATAACTATATTATTGTATATATTACTACTAACTAATTAGTTTTATTTTACAAGCTCTAGAACTTTAGCTAATAGCATTAGCCTCTTCTCTAGAGCTAAGTAGCATTTATTTTTACATTAAACCTGCTAAAGCAATATATATTTCACATATATATTCACCTAAACTTTTAGTAAATAACACATAGTTTATTTATACTGAAAGTTAGAGCTAACCATTAAACCTCTGTTATTTACTAACACTTTTGTATAGTTCAATATTTAGATTCTAATACCTACAATTTAGTTTTTAATATTAATTAAACTCTTTAATCAATCTTTCTCTTGCTACTAACTATTCTTCTAAAAGAATTAACTTTAACTTTGGCTTTAAATATTTTTAGTTTATTTTTTCCTGATACATATTTCCAAAGTATATATATTTTATCTTTAGCTAATACTTCTAGCTGTTTTCAATATATGTCTATTTTTCAACTCCCAATTTAGTATCTAGAAGAGTTAGGTCCTTTTTTATCTAACTTTGTTAATAAGTGCTAAGTTTTTTTG